TAACAAAAAATTTGGCCTTACTAGTTATTCAAATTTTATTAAATGATGTGTCAATACAGGCCTTGTTAGACACACAGGAACACAAAAAAAAAAAAAAAAAAAAAAAAAAAAAAAAAAACCGGTTTTATTTCTGCAAATTTTTTTCAAAACAATTTAAAAAGGTATTGATTATTTAGCCTAGAAAATAACAAAGCCATTGCAGTTCAGGGCAAGAAGTACACAGTTTACGCAAAGCCACATTTAATGTCCACGTCAAAAATGAATTTAAAAAAACTATATTTTTTGTTGTAACAAATTTGCAAGCTTCAAGAATTCTAGGTACAGATTTCCTCAAGACAGCTGAAGCTGAGCTTAACTTCCAACAAGAAGCTCTGAAATTGAAAATAGAACCCAGGAGCAGGCTTAAAAGTGAATGCACCCAAGTGCAAATTTGCGGCAAAAGAGCTTAGGTACCTAGGCTGTAAAATTTCTCAAAAGGGAATACAAATGGAAGATTTAAAAATAATTGCTATAAAGAATTATCCACTGCCAAACACAGCAAAAAAAAAAAAAAAAAAAAACCTTCATTCTTGGGCATGTGTTCGTACTATCGGACATTCATAAAGGACTTTGCACAGATAGCAGAAAAGCTTTAAAGAGAAAGAAAGCACAGTTTTCTTGTTCAGCTGAGGCTAACACCGGGTTTAAGAAATTGGAAATTGTGTTAATATAAGCACCAGTTTTAAAATTCCTGGAGGGAGACAAACATCTTGAAATTTCGACAGACACCTCAGATTACGCTATAGGCACTGTTTTGATACAGAATTGTCAGCTGCAGCCTATTTTTCTAAAACTCTTAATCAAACACAGCGAAACTACATGCCCATGGACACAGAAACTTACACAACAGTGCAGAAGTTTACAGTATATTTTGGTAAGGCATCGATAATTATGTATTTTTATCATGCTACTGTGGGTTGATTATACTCTGGCAAAAATTTATTTCTTTGGTTGATCAGAAGGGCCTTGAATTTACAAGAATACAATTTCATAATCAAACATATGCCTGGAAAAGATAATATGGTAGCTGATGTTTTATCTCTAACAAAACTAGACAAGGAGGGAAAAGACATAAAATGTTCTATGTTAACATCGAAAATCTTAGACTCCTATGAAACTATTATTTCTGAATTACAAACTGATCCAGAACATAGGTATATTTATGAATACTTGCAAGATCCAGAAAATTTCAAACAGTCAGATATAGTGGCAATCAGGAATAGAGCAGAAAATTACAATATAATTGATAAACTCTTATTTTATACTAAAAGAACAAATGAGAGTAGTGAACTAAGATTGGTTATCCCAGCCAATTTGCAGCTCAGAATTTTGCAAGAAATATATGATTCACCTACTTCTGATCATCTTGGCATTAAAAAATGGTGTAGAGAGTAAGAAATTGCCTCTGCAAAAGTTTTGTAAATTGTGTTAATGCTAAAAGTATTTTGCATACTTGTAAACGTAACTAAATATGCATGAATGAAAGAGCAACTCAAGTTAATACTCGCATGGACAGTTAAAAATTAAAATTAGCTCGAGAATATATGCAAAGTTAGGCTCCTACCAACACTAAGCTAATTTTTACTAGAATTAGCCTCTCAGGCCTGAGAATTGACTGTAGGGTGAATTTCTGAGACCTAGTATATCTACTTTTTAACAAGTAGTATGTAGGTTAGATGGCAGTGTTGAATACATTCTACATGAAAACACACTCTCATATTCAGTACACATGCTGGAGAGCCCGGGAGAGAATTTTGGAACAAATGAAATGAGTTAATGCAGCCTCTATAATACTAAATCAAATATATTTAGTATCATAGGTTTTAGACAATTATCATTTTAATTGTCTAAAACCTTGCAAGTTAAATGCATATGTCAAATGTTCTAACTCGTTCTAAACTATTTTCTTTCTAGATACCTGAGGGGAGACAAGATAAAAAAGTGTAAAAGAAGAATTGTATGGATGTGTCTCGAATATCGTCTGTAAAATTTAAATTAAGAAAGCTAAGATTTAAATTGAAAAGGTTTACTCATGGTTAGGTTTAGAATTTAAATATCTTATCCAGGCTTTTGAAGCCTGTTATGGAATAGTTAAATTCTGGCATGGGAAGATGTAGGTTCCCCTTAGTTTGAATAACTAATTATTCTAATTATGGTATCTTTTCTGAACCTCTTATTTCCCCTTGCATTTCCTCACCAGGATGTAAACTAAGTTAAGTGAAGAGAGCATTTAAACAGGCGAAACAAGAAGGTTAGATAGAGTGTGATTTTGTTAGTTAATGCAATTTGCTCTTCTGGTCCTCTAGCTGTTAATCTGAATTGTGGCAACACATTCTGAATATTTAATAAATCTGTCGCCAGTGTAGGTTTTTGAGTCAGACTGTCAGCTTTAAGTAAATTGTGTAGTTTAGTACCACTATTTACCATTTTGATTTTATTGTTAAATTATCCTTAAATTTCTCACTGCAAGTAGTGGGTGTTATTGTACATGAAGTACACTGTGTCTTCCCCCCCAAAAAAAGATAAAAATATGGATTACGTCCAAAAGGGTGTTTTTATTAACGTTTTGTGTGGTACCTTTATTTATTAAACATCACGTTCTTTGCACTTAAACCATAAAATTCAGTTCAAGAGCAATATCACAAAATAGTTTTATAAATTGAGCATATCTTCAGAATTTCCAAAACAGAATCTCAGGCACTAGAGATAAAAATGTTTTTTCCGTACAATATTGCCATTGCTCGCTTTGAAATCGTTGAGCTTGTTACTCAAAAATTCGTTAAAGTTTTACAAAATATGAAATCGATAATAAAACTAATTCCAAATTTCAAATTTTGGCTTCCACATGCCCATATTCACAGTAGGATTACGTCATTCAAAATTCGATGGCTCTATGTCCAGTTGTTTTATCACAATGTGAGAAATATACACACATTTATGCAGATTTTTCATTATTTAATTTCTTCAAATATAATGCAGGAGTCTAACATGTGGTGGCAAAGTCCTAAAAGTGAAACAGACATCAACGCAAAATCGCGAAATGAAAACAATAGTCCTTCAGGGACAAAGTCCCTTTGGACTAAGAAAGCGACAGTTCTATATCTTCCGTTCTACTGGGCCGATTGATGAAATTCAAATTGTGTTTTTCATGTCTCGAAAGCGCGATTTAGGATATAGACTAGATTTATATAGAGAATTGTTGTAATATAGGTATTTTGACACACAATCGGACTTTTTCTGAAATGACATGCCAATTTTTTCCCACATTTCCATTCTATTAATACTCACATTTCTCCAAACTGCCAAGTTTTTGTAAAAATCACACAAGTAGTTTTCAAATAATTAGCTCTCAAAATTTTAGCTTCTCAATGTTAAATGAGTTTGGTATATATTTATTAATATCTCTTTTTTAATTAAACCTTTTTTCATATTTCAAAATTTAGGTTCATTCTAAATAATATTCGCCCATCTTTTATGATTTATTTCTAAAATTTGCATTTTAAAATAATTTTTACAAATTTTTCAAAAAACATTTTGAATTATAATCTATAAAATGTTACCATCATCTTAAAGTAGATGCATTTCTAAGCATACCTGCAAAAAATGAGTTTTTTATTAAAAATTTTTGAAGATATATGTGAATTTATATATTGGCACATTCTGAAATTTGGCATATTTGTTGAAAGCGATAATAACATCAAATGGGTTTAGGCACTTTGTTAAAATTATTTGAAAGTAGGAACGCTGTGAATTTTTTTCCGCTCATGCACAATGTAAAAAAGTAGGAATGATGTGACTAAACACAAAAAAGTCACATCATTCCTACTTTTTTCCTGCTCCTGAACAATGGAAGGAAAAGGAAAATAGTTTGCCATATATTAAGAATAAGTTCAGTGAATTATTCTTGGTGCAAACTGAAAAAAATAGACCAGGATAAAGTTTTGAATTTCTCCATAAATTTCGCACCAAATTTTACAAAATTTAATATTTAGGCATAATTTGAGTCTAAAATTGAAACATGGGAAAAAAAATTGGTATGTTATTTCAGAAAGAGTTCGATTTTGTGTCCAAAATACCTGTGTTAGAACAATGCTATATATAAATCTAATAAATATATCCTAATCATGTTTTTGCAACATGAAAAACGCAATTTGAATTTCGTCAATCGGCCCAGTAGAACGGGAGATATAGAACTGTCCCCTCTTTTGGTGTAGAGAGTATATTTTTTTTTGTGTAGTGTACATGCCTTTCTGTTAAAGAAATTTTGTTGAGAACAGAAGGGCCATTTACACCCTTCTTTTGTGCTGCTGTTCTTCCCGCCTGTGTCGGCAGGCTTTTTAACAAGAACAAGTCACTTGCATGATAGCAAAAAGAGTGAAATCTTTTAGGGAAAACTACAAATGATCACAATTAGGTTGGCTGCCCATTTGATGGTTATTTATTGATAATCTGGCTGACTGTTAACAAAATGGCAGCCACAATAATAAAAGAGTAGCAAATTTTATTTATTTCTAAAACCTTATCAACATTTATTTTAACAATATCAAATTCAAAAGAAAGCAATTTTCGAACACAAAATGATCCTTACTAATTCTAAAACAAAATAAAGTTTTAAAAAAGACACTCAATATAAAGGCTTTAAAATAAAAACGAAAATTAAAAAGTAAATAAAAATTTAAGCACCACAATGAAATATTATTTTGAATATGCTGATTAATAATTAAAAATATTTAATGAAAAATTACAAACAATCAACAATAACAACCCCCCCCCAAAAGAAGAATATTAACTTTTATATGCAACAAAATGATTTCCACACAACCATATTTACATATATTTCTGGTAATGCAGGGCTGTGCAATATATTGAAATTTTAACCATAGTTTCTACAGTTATCTCATGACAAGTTCATCTACAGTTGAGACTTAATCCCAGTTATAAATACGGGCAAATAAAATTACCTGCATTTTTCACAGAACTTGCCTTCAGTCCTATCTTGGCATTTATCACATTTTCCAATACCTTTACTGCATGTACTGTGGTTGTTACATCCACAGTTTATACTGCAGTCTTCTCCTGTCCACCCTAGATCACATATGCATTTAAAATCTGGAGCATCTGAACAATAGCCATGGACACAAGTAACGGCACACCTGAGAGATACAGCAAAAACAGTAATCATTGCATGTGGTTGCTTGCTTATTAAAATTTATCATCAAATGTAACTTAAAAGCAACACAATTTTTACATGTAATATAATATTTTGTTGAATCTCATGGATATTTTTATTTATAAAATGCACCATTTAAATTGGTTACTATTATAAATCGTACTGGCAAATAGAAAGACAAAGATTATAATACTTGGTTAAAACAGGCGTCCATAGGATGACATCATGGCTACACTCTAACAAGGTATCATAACTTAAAAATATTCAAATTGCCATGCAAATTTAACATTATGAATATAAAGATTAATAGTTAGAACTACAGAATTTTGTTCACTTTCTGCTGCTCGCTGGAAATGAATTGATAACACAATATGATAATATTTAGCTTATATATTAGACAGATCCTCAAAAGCTCAAGAAATTTTCATATATTTTTGCCATGATATAATTTTAAGATGTAAAAATTTATAGATCACACCTATCTTGATCTTAATGGAAAGGAAATCTGTTGCCTAAGGTAAGTGCAAGTGTAGTACTGAGGTTTAGAATCAGCTAAAATCTATAAAGTGTATCTGACATTCGTGAGCATTTTTAAAACTGTTTGATTCTAGTAAATAATTTTCTAACCTTATTCACTATTCATTAAGCTTGTAAATTTTGTTTCCATCTCCATTTCTGATTATCTGCAATGTTCTGTTACAATAATGAAGATTCTAACTGCTTTGACGGATTAGCCTAAATTTTTTCTTGAATCACCAAACTAAGCAAATGAAAATACAACCCAGTCTTATTTAACTTTTGCATGAAATACTAATTTATAAATTTCTTTCTTTACTCAGAGTTATTTTCTGCCTTCTTAAAAACTGGATACAATTTGAAAAACTGTTAAAAAGTGGAAACGGATTTCATAATTTGAACTTTTTGAAACATTTTCTCATTGTAGGTTCATTATGCTTAAAATAAACTCATCTTATTTTAAATGCTGAGAGCAAAAGAAACACCATAATTTCAAAATTAAGATGACTCCAGAAATTAAAAAGTAAAAAATTTTTTATTTAATACTTGCAAATATTTATTGTATTCATAAATAAAAAATATGTCTTTAAAGGTTGCCCAAACCAGCAGACATTATTTTTCCTTTACATCCCACCATGTACTATATATTACAAGGCCTGTTTCAAAATGCCTATTTCTCCTTTCAGTTGCTTCACTCATTTCTAGAAACACAGCAAAATAATAGATGGTAGTTCTTCTGAAAGGTGGCGGCACTTCACATATTTTTAGCAGAATTTTAATTGAATTTTTAAGAAATACTATTCACAAAGTAAAGCAATTAATGAATAAATATTTAAAAATAAACTGAAAAATATACACTATTAAACATTAAGGAATACATGTACCTAATTTTTTTTAAAAAATTTCATATAGTGTTTTAAATTTAATTTTTTAAATACTATCCACAGTGATGTTAATATAATAACGGTACTATTAACTCTAAAAAAACTGACTTGCAGTGATATAAGATTTATGATGTACCATTTATTCTTGGATTAATACCTGTTCTCTCTTGGTTAATGACATCATTTCAAAACAGATATGATTTTTGAAAATTTTATATGATGATATTTTACAAGTTCATTATAAAAATAGTTAAAATATTCAGGAGATAGACATGTTTGTCATCTGTACATTTACTCTCATCAGCACTTACAAAATTAAATCAGCTTAGTTAGTTAATTTCAAGAATTTTACATAAGTGTTTTGCACTTTTTAAAATATAACTTTGCTTTTTTCTTCTGAACTAACAAAATTAACATCCAAATTCCATTAAACTAAAAACTTTAGTAGTTGAAAAGACCTTTTGCTAAATATATTTCAATACCTTGAAGGACTACTGTAAACATTCTTCTTTTTTATTTACTTCAGTTATTATAGTATCACTAAAACAGAGAATGAGTAATGCTAGGATGTATAACTAAATTCTTACTTATTAATACAGAATATGATACTGCATCCATAACATAATTTGTGTTCAGTAATTCAATCAATTTCTCAGATTTATACTTATTTGTAAAATGAAGAAATTTGACTCAATCTGACCAGAATCAAAATAATAATTAAATGTAAATTGTTAATGTAAAAAGAGTAGAAAACCAAAGTTATTTAGAAACCCTTGCCTACTTGAAAACTTCCATGACACGAATCATGCATCTAAATCAAAATAAACTATATACAATCTGTAAAAAAATACATAAATAATACTAAAAAGGCAAGCAAATAGTAAGTTTTAATTTAACTTACCAAACTATTTTTGTATTTGGAGAGTGGAGCAGCATTTGCGAAACTAGTATATATGTTATATATAGTATATAAATATCGGGTGTTCGTGTTGGTGTGTTTAATCATATTTTGTTCAACAACTTTTGGTATTTGAAAGAACAAGACTTGCTTTAGAACACTGTGTTGTGAAACTTGTAAAAAAATGTCGCTATCATTAAGTACAAGGTGTCTGAAACATAACTATTATGTAACCAGATTATAACTATCATCTACTTTCAGTTGTGTTGCAAAAAGTCAGCTATAGAATGTCACCAAATCACGTTTACAGCTTTAGGTACTAATGTTGTATCATATGATACTGTGCAGGTTTGGTACTGAAAGTTCAAAAACAAGGACTATGACATTCAAAA